TTATTTGAGAAAACGCGACTGAATATAAGGATGACATTTTAAAACATTGTTTTCCCCAAACAAATGCATTAGGACATATTAATCCTGGAGAGGAAGATCTATGAGGCTGTTGCTGCACCTTGCCTGACAACTGTGGCTTATTCTCTAAGTAAAGACTGAAAAAAAAGGAAGAAGATTCTCTGCTAAACGGAGGATGTTATGATTTGATATCTAAACTGAGTTTCTTAAAGACCTCTGTGAATGTCAAACTGCAGATTTCAAGTGAAGTTTGGGAATTTGAAAGGAGAATGAGCATAGTGAACCAGACATTCAATAGCTAAAGAGGGAAATAATTGCTTCTAAAAGGAAGCGAAAGCCTTATAGAAGAGGCAGAAAGTATTAAGAACCACAGAAACAAACGGCATGTAGGCATTGCCAGCTGGTGTAAGAGTAGAGGGTCCTCTAGGTACAGTACTTCTTACGGGAAGTAGAAAAAATAAAGGAACATAATTCAACAAAGAAAGCTCATGAGCTGTGCCAGAGCCTGGTTGACAGGAGAAATAAACTAGACCTTATAAAACCCAGACAATGCTGTAAAGATCATCAGATTTGCAAAACAACATTATTATGAAAAAGACAAAAGCAGTAGGCCTTTGCTAACATTTAAAAAATAAACAACACATAAAATAGTCTCTTCAGTCTCCGGAGGAGCAATCCAAAGGATATCCACGAGACAATTTACTGTGTATCTTGCAGGATGTTAATACTACTTGGAGACAGTGATTCCAAAATAAAAGTATTTAATTTAAGCCACCTAGACCATACCAGCAGATCAAATGTTCTGGATGAAAGGCATTAAATGTTAGTTTAATTATAAAGAATATTAAATTAAATTAGGTATATTTGAAATCCTTAGACTCCTAATATCTCTCCTGCAGAATTATATTTATATATATATATATATATTATATATATATATACAGACACATATATATATATATATATATATATATAAAAAGGATCTGGAGTGAACAGACAGAATCACAGTTGGGTCAATTTTTAATGAGACACGGAAAGAAGAAAAGACCCTGGCATCCAGATGTAATAATACTGAAATATGGAAAACACCTACTCAGTTTCATCACATGTAACACATCTGTTTATTAAATCAAACTCTTTTCTTTGTTCTTAGTAAACAAACTCAATAATCCTGCCTAGTTACCCCATCAGAGCTCCAGCCAAGTCACTTTAACAGGAAACAGAGAGAGATCAGCATTCATGACTCGTTTTTCAAACTGAATATGCAAAACAACTTACCTCACAACTAACATTAGGAGATGAAAAACTGATAATGTGATCTGGCAGTTCTCAAAAGGGATCTTAAAAATTTTTGGCTAAGTTCCAGTTTTGGGAATTAGATATTTATCCAAAGTCAAGTCCAAATGCTGCAGCAAAAATTAACAGGGCCCTATAAGCAAGTTTCTCATTTTCATACCAGACACAAACCAAGGCTTTCTCCATCATCTCTCATCTTCACTATGGTTGTACTGCATTCATATAGACAGCTCATGGAAATCAATAAATCCTAGGTGGAATGGACAGACAACACAGGGAGCACATATGAATGTATGAGTTTTAGAAGTATTTTTGCCAAATACCTCAGTTGTCCTAAAATGGATAATACTGAGTAGTAAATAGAGTTTTCAGATGAAGTCTAATGTCTACAGATGCTGATTAGTTTTATACTTCTAATGCCTATAAATTCTCACAATATATGTATTCGAGGTAATGGGTAAGTCAATGGAGAGCAAATCTGCTAGGCATTACTGTGTATATAGAAAGTGCATCTAATTCAGGCACACCACAAGCTGAAATGCAGAGAGATCACAAGACTATCTTGTCTCTGGCTTTACAGCATGAAAGGAAATGGAGGATCACTGTATGGAAGTGTATAGGAAAGAGTCCATAAAAATAAAGATGTTATTTTTCTAAAGAAAATTAGGAAACAGATGAAAGCATAAAATTCTCTCATCAGTCAAAACTGAACCCAGAGAATTGTCTTGGTCCTGAATCAGTTTTATTTTCTAAGCATTACTAGTTGTTCCTCTGGAGAATTTCTTGGAAGACCATCAATGTAAAATAAATTGATTCAGGGAAAAATGAGAATTTGATGTTGAAAAGCCACTCTGCAAAAACCTGGTGAAATGGAGTGAGGTGCCGCTAAACCAAAACCAATATTATTAGGTAAATCAAATCAGAAAGGTGCTTTTACACAGGTCATTTTAAAGACAGTAAACAGCAAAAATAGTGGTTTAACACCTTTTCTTGAAAAACAGAATCTACACATCTAGTTTTTCAGGGAGTAGAGGACCTCTAAGCCAACCTGGTGTCTGATCAGCTTCTCTAAGAACATCAATATAGGGGTGAGATAATGCTTACACTTTTTTTCTGAACACTACCTCTCAGCACTTATTTCTGTATTTGACAACATGGAAATAAACTCTACTAGACCTCAGGCAAGTCTGAGGACCTCACAGTATAGTGCTGACATGGTGTTACCTGATTTATTGAGAAAAAATATATTTAAATATTTTGCAAGCCTTCCTTAGTTTGCATCAAGAGAACAAGTTAATGTTTTAGAGTATTAATAAATCCCGCACCTATTTTTTTCTTAAAAATCTTTGCAGAAAACTGATAAACTTTCAGAAAATATTCCTTCCTTGAGTGTATAATCTTTCTTGTTTCTGTATTCTCTAAGGAATTCATCCTAGGCCCCCTTAATTTTGAGCTACCTGTGGAAATCTCTCAGTACACCAGAACTGCTCTTAGCAGAAAATACCATAGCCTGGATTTAAATCCAAAAAATACCATTTTTGGATTTATCAGAAGTAGAAACTTGTCTTTAGACATCAAATGCTGATTTCTTAAGCTGATTGTTTCTGAATTTCTGGCTTTCATTTGGATTATACAACTCTGTAAGTCTAGCCTATTTTATATTTTATTTTATTGGTTTTGCTCATGATGTGTGATTTGTTTGTATAATTATATGGAACGTATGTAGACTTGCTACTGGAGGAGACTCTCATCCCTGATCCAGCTGATGTGTGGTTTTATGAATCAGTCATCTAAATTATACCTACAGAGTAGATAGGTCAGTGCCAATTGCTGCGAGGGAGAAAGCCAAAGAGTACTTGTGAGAAAATATGTACAGACAGTCCTTCAGAGAAGAAAAGGACTAAAGCTTTCTCAGGTGTTTGTTTTGAAGAAGCACAATGCCTCCCTGTCTTCTTCCCCTTTCTCTCTCTCTCTCTCAAAAAAATTATCTAAGTTAGCACTTTACTTCTCCCACTGCAATCTGACACAAAAGACCTTCTCAAATAAATCACTTATGCAGTTGTCTGGTATGACACGGTGTCAGATGCTGTCTTTTTGATAAGTTCATTTCCTAAGCAATTTGTTTAACCCTTTTTATAGCCATTGTTTCTCTGACTAAGTTGTGAGTCATTTTTCAACACATGAGTACTCCAGGGAAATGTCATATTCCTCTCTTGTTTCTCTGCCTGCCTGGTTTCACCATGTGACTTTTATAAGCCAAAAGACAAGAGTTCCTTCTTTTGTTTGTCCCATTCTGCTGACAGCTGGCTGTTGTTGGCTCCTATCGGGCTACTGTATAGGCTGACCTTATAGCTGTAATAAGGCAAATGAAGTATTTGGGAAAGAGCCCTCCTTCCCCCCCCAACCCCAGAATATCAAGTAAATGAAGAAACTTTTAGGAGCCTGTTAGGAAGGGTATCACTCATCAAATTTGTGTCATGCTGTGAATGTAATTTCTTGTGTCTCAGAAGTCAGTTCCAAATTGCCCTAAAGTAGCCGCAATCAACAAAACGAGGTTGTCTAGGAAAAATCAAACTGATCATTTTTCATCCCAAAGACTTACTTTAGGACACAAAAGCTGTCATTCACCTCAACAGAACAGATGGGCTGAAGGCTCGTAAAGGGTCATTTGTTTCTTTTTTCCTCTTGGGAAAAAAAATCTGTTTCCCACCTTACAAAAACCTCTTTGCAGTTTATATAGTAAATAGCCTCATAAATTCGGACAAGTGTATCCAAACTGCTTGAGGCTTTCTGTATTATCTGTGCCTGAGGGTAGCCAGGGACAAGTGTTTGCACCAGGTATGCTGACAGAAGGCAAGCGCAGAGACTGTGGCAGTCTCAAAGGAGTGCTCCCTTTGGGAACTGACTTCTGAAGAAGCAAATGTAATTACTAGGAGTCCTGGGCATGCCTGCTCTCACAAGAAAGGAGTGTCCCAAAGCCTGTTCCAAGATATTGTAGTTGGTAGCTATAAAACCCTTATCTAATTCAATGTAAGTACAAGGCTCTTGTCTCCCTGTCCCACTCCCTTCATCTTCCCCTTTCTCTACCTCTCCTTTTCCTTTAAAATTCTGGAGACTTGAACTGTGTAATTCCATGACCTGATGGTGTTTTTAAAAGGAAAAGATTAATAAATGTTCCCAGTAAGGTGTTAACTGTATTGTAGTACAATTTGTGGCACGCAGGTCCCTGAAAACCAGGTACTCTGTGATCTTAATCCTTCTTGACTGGCTGCTGTGCTACAGCAGCACGAGCTGTATGCGTCTGGAAAGTTTATCTAGGGGACCCTGCCTAGACCCCTTGGATTGCTTTTAAATGTTCTGTTATTTTCTCTAATGAATTACTGCTGGTTGTAAGCATGCTACACTTCAAAGGTCAAAGGGCATTAATCATTCTCTTAAGGCTTATGTGATGAGAGACACAGATGATGGAATTTCTGCCATGGAGAGACAACTGAATCCTGGCCACTCCTTGTCAGGATAACTTTATAGCTCATACCCATAAAGGACTGAAGCCAAAAACCTTTTGTCAACATTTGGATTGTTACTGAAAGAGAATGGATGTGTTATGAAACTCTTTGCTAATCATGAGAATATTCCAGCCTAATTATGTCATCTAAACTTTTGAAATCTTCTTTGTTCTGCCATAGGGCCGTATTGTGGTAATGTGATGCCTGTCCCCAAAGAAATCATTCTGGATAGCAATGAGGCAACTATTCACTTTGAGAGTGGATCCCATGTGTCAGGACGAGGTTTTCTGTTGTCCTATGCCAGTAGTGATCATCCAGGTAAAGTGAAATCCAAGAGTAGTAGAGCATTAGTGGCATAGTCCCCCCTATTTCATTATTTTTTTTACATAGACTTTAGCCCAAATGTTTGATCCTAAATGTTTCCAGATTCGCATCAACCAAGGTATTTTTAATAGCATGTGTGCAAGGAATAGTTGTAGCATTAACCAGATATAATGGCTGCTAGACCATCTGCAATACAGGCCCAGTGAAAGAGAAAATTAATACATTCTCCTTGAAGCTCCACTGTTTTCTGGGCTCCAGCATCCACCTTACTGTAAAATTAATACATTCTCCTTGAAGCTTCACTGTTTTCTGGGCTCCAGGATCCACCTTACTGTGATAGGAGCACGGGGTAGGACAGGTTATTATTTTCATTCCTACATTTAATGTTCTGGAGGTCTGTTCAACTTTGATGAAGGTGTAAAACAGAAGAGGAGTAAAAGAGAGAGTTGGAAAGAATGAGGGAGAACCATAGCTATTGCTTCCAGTCTAACAAAATTGCTTAAATATTATACACAGGGGTCTTTAAATGTAATTACACATTTAACCAAATATTTGTCTCTATTTCTACATCCTACAATGAGAATTGACATTTGTAAACTTTCCACAGATCTAATCACCTGTTTGGAACGAGCAAATCACTATACAAAGGCTGAATTCAGGTAAAGAGGGTTTGTAGCTCTCTGCATTCTGGCTTGCTTTGCTGTATCTGTCATCTGGTCCAGTCATTAGCAAATGTTAGAAAACAGTCTTGGTTTTCTGGAGAAGTGAATTTTTTTGAGTTCCAATGCTGCAATGGTCCAAGGCTCTGTTATGAGAAGCAGAATGGAAGTGTGCAGCCCAGAAAAATGATGGAATGGAGATGCAGAGCTCTCAGCAATATTTGTTAGGGCATACCTATATATGGTATATGTAAAAACAGTTTCCACTTTGAAATTCAAAATAGCTTTAAATTCCGGTGCTCCCTCTGAGAGCAGATCACATCCCAGCTCATATAAGATTATCTGAGGACAAGCTATAATTTCTTGATTCCTTGAACTTTGTGATAGGATTTGAAGTGGTAATAAATTGTGCTCTTCTGGCTGCTGTCTGAGTGTGCATATAGGCTTCTTATCTGGGCTGCACTGAAAACTCATATGGTAGCATTTCTAGAACAAGAGAATTAGGCAGAAATAAGTACCCTTGCAAAACTGCTTTTCTGATTCTTTGTGTGCTACTGTGTCCAGTCCACCTATAAACTCAAGGGCCCATTTATTTATCCCCTAGACTCACAAACAGACCACCAGCCAGAAATTGCTGCTAAAATAATTATTGGTTTGAGACCATTTCTTTTGTATGAGTTTATTTGTGTGTATCATCACTACGGTTCATGTCTGAAACAAGCCTTTCTCTTCTCACTACAGCAGATACTGTCCTGCTGGCTGCAGAGACATAGCAGGTGACATTTCTGGGAATATTGGAGAAGGATACAGAGATGTAAGTACACAGAATAATGAGGGGAAATTCATAAAGATGAAAGAAACAAGAATAGAACCACTCAGTTTAAACTTTTGCTGCTTGACTTTTGTCCGTAATTATTCCCAGCTGTGTTAAATAGACCCTTTATTATCAGTATATAAGTAAGCTATCAGTATATAAGCACACAGAGACACTTGTCAAACAGACAAATCAATTGTGTGAGAACAAAGTTCACTAATTGTCAAATACACCTACTGACTTGTGGTTTCTGGCTTTCTGGAAAAACCCTGCATAGGGTTTGTCCCTCTTGAGGCAGTGCTCATCCATGTACCAAATATTTCTGTGATTTTAGGTTTTACTTTTTTAGTGTCCACACGTGAAAAAAATACATTTCAGTAACACATGGTTTTTCTTTAAGATTATGCCTGCAATATCCTAGCAATCTCCTCTGAGATGAAATAAATATTACACGCTGCCTAATCACATCCCACTGATAAGTACCAACCTCTTGGGTTGTTCTAACTGCCTGTTCTTTAAAGCGAAGAATTTGCCCAAGGTGTTGCATTTATCCACAGTTCATATCACACAGAGCTCTGCCCTCTCTCTGCCTCTCACCATGGACTGTCCTCCTGTCACGCCTGTGAAATCTCAAAGAGTAAGCTTAATCATATCCCTGAAGTAAAATCCCACCCTATCACAACTATAACAGTTACTGTGTTTCCAAAAAGTCAGTGTTGATGTTTAACCTGTTCATCCAGTTATTCAAGCTTGCCGGCTCCAGCCTGGAAAGTGGCAGAGCTGAAGAAACAAAGAAATGCCACATTACATTCTCATTAGCTGGAGTTATTCTGCCCTTGGGTTGGATGATTAGGACAGAAAAGCAGCACATGGCATGACCTCATGCAGATCTTATCTGCACTGAGGAATTTGTGAAAGACGTTTTCCCTTCACCATTAAGAAGGATTTAGCTTATCTGATGGGAAGAACCTGCAGGGCTCCCCTGGGGACCTGCTGCCTTTGAGCCCCTGCTCCCCCCCAGCCCTCCCTGGAGGGAACAGCCCAGCAGCCCAGATTTTCCAGTAGCACAGCCCAAGCAGGGCCTCTGTGAACCAGACCAATCTCTGCCTGCAGCCACCTAGTCGGCACAGAAGTTGTCCTGCCTGTATTTTTCAGCGCTATCCCACCTCAGACACTGGTAAATGGGCTATACTTAAAACCCAGCAGCAGCTAGTCAACACATAGCTAAATCTCCTAATGTATGCCATGACTCAAGTCCTAAGGTGCAGTAATAGGTAGGTCTGCCTTCAGGCAAGAATAGCAAGCAATTACTGATTTATCTTCCCAAGGAAATGTTGGCTTGCCTTTGACTTTGTTTTCCTGAGGAGTGACAATCTTACAGCACCTTCTCAGAAGCAGATTATTTGATCTTTCATTTAAAAAAAACAAACAAAAGACATTACTTTGGGAAACGTATATCTTTCAAAGATTGCTGTTCTTCCTTCCTCCCCTGCCTCGTATTTCTCTTGAGCTTTACCTGGATTTTATGAGCTGTAACACCTGTATACCAGTGGCTTGGAAGGGAAAGCATTTGCAGTTTGTCAGATTGATCTTCTGAGTTTTGGCTTCTGCCTTTCAGACCTCGCTGTTGTGCAAATCTGCGATACATGCGGGTGTGATCACGGACGAGCTGGGTGGGCAGATCAGCGTCACCCAGCAGAAGGGCATCAGCCGCTACGAAGGCGCCGTCGCCAATGGCATCCCCTCACAAGAGTGAGTACCACTGGTGGTGCTCACACTGGGGGCAAATCCCGGGGCACAGTGCACTGTCCACATCAGCAGAAGCAGCTGGGGACACCATTTTGGGGAGGAAAAGATGTTAGGTGTGGGTCTAGAGGCTTTTGGGCTTAATTTCTATGGGTTTATTAGAATGGTGTTGGCATTGGAGATAGGAAAATATTCAAAGTTTTCAGTGGCTCTATACCATGTAGTGAAGCATTTTCTTCTTTTTTTCCTTCTATTCTTTCCAACACATATCTACAAATTACTTTGTTAGCAGATACATGAGAATATGATGTTCTGCAATGAACACCTTTAATCAATGTGCTAATAAATCATGGTAAATTCATGTTAAAGTTTGAAAAAAGCTAGGAAGACTGAATAAATAAAAAGTGCCATTGAGCCATAGGGGATTTAATGAACAACTTCTTAAACACTGTGCTATTGACATGTTCAGAGTTTTTCTCTTTTAGAATATTTATAGCAAGGGTGTTATATTTCCTGCTTATCTTCTCACTTTTAATTGTACTGTTGTTGAAGTAGAAATAAATCCTCTAATCTCTATTCAGCACAGTAAGCCCTTCCAGCAACTGCTTCTGTCATTCCTTTTGGTTTATAGTTTTTAATTTTCAAATGTTATCTGGATTTTACATGAGGCTTTTTTTTTAAGTAGGAAGGGAAATTTCCATCCCACAGCCATGAGACCTAAAAGCATATGTGTTTTTTATACTATTTTCCTGTTTTCTCCATGATTTCTCACACCCTCCTGACAATTTTACAATCATAGTTTCATTCATTAAAAAAAAAAAGGCATTCATTTGCTCTGTTGCTGTGCTTAAACTTCAGCTCAAATTGAAATGCTTTATATATAATGGAACTGAAGTATACAAACCTGGGTAGTATGTAGATCATAGCCAAAGAACTGTAAAGCCTAAATACTTTCTATCTTTCTTGAAAGTTGATTGCCAAAGAAAATTAATATAAAGTTGTATCAAGCAAAGCAGGATTGATAGCTCTGCTCAGGCACCAAGCTCCTCCATAAAACAAATAATACAAATTCTTTCCATCACACATGCCAGTTTAGTGAAACCACAAATTTAATACTTTGTACCTTACCTAAAGATGTTACAGAACTGTTTACATACATTCATATGTTTGTGATCCTTGAGAGTCCCAGCAGGAGTAACTCAGACAGCAGCACATGAAATTTTATAAAGAAAGGCAGTTATGATTCCCATTTGTATTTTTTTCACAGTACAAGAGCCATGGGCAAGGAATTAAGTGTTTAAGACAGCAAATGCACATGTGCTGGGGGAAAACAGTTTGCGTAATTACCAAGCGCCTTAACTGTGTCCTTTTAATGTTGCTATTCACAAAATATCCCATCCATTTCATGTGAGTAATAGAAGTACCCATGGAGATGCAAACTTGTCTCTGTTACATCAAGTGGGAAAACTCCCATTTACTTGAAGAAAAGCTGAAACATGCTTCCAGGCTGAATCCAGCCTCCAGGGCTTGGATGTAGCCAATTTAATGTGAAGCCCCTGAGAAAGCAGCCTAAGAAGGAGCATAGTCCCTGTAGCTCTTCTGCCTACCAGGGCACTCCTTGAGCATGATGCACGTCTTGAAGAGACTGAATTGCCCTGAGGAGACAACTGTCACTTTCTACAGGTTATACAGGGAGCTACAGATAAACAGACTCATACTGGGTTGGATGCCTGCAAACTAGATGGTACGGACCTTAAGAAAAATGGGATCCCTAGGATGCTTCTGCCATACCTGGCAGCTGGGACAATCCCTGGAGCAGATGAACTGCTGGTGTGAGCCCATTACGCCAAGAGAGGAAATCTGGAGTATTCAGGGAAATTCTTTTATTTCAAATCATGAAAAAATGTTCCTAGAAACAGTGGGCCTGTTTACTAAAACAATGAACCAACACATATGCTTTAAGAAAGCTTTTACAAGAGGTATTTGCAAAGTTGTATGGCTTCCCTGTCCTCAGGGTACCTACACGGTGAAAGAAAATCCTGCAGAGAAGCCAGTGCTGGCAAGAAAAAATTGGTGCTTGAGCAGCAGTGCTTTAAGAGCTTTTCAGGTGCCCTTAAATAAAAGCTTACTCAAGCTTTTAAAATCTCATTTACAGTGGATTCCAGTACTAAAGATTTAAATTATTTAGTGGCTTGAGCTGAAATTGACCTCATCAAAAGCTGGTGCTGGAGTGCATCGAGCTGTTAAGTATCTGCATTGTTAACACAGAGTTACTGCTCGCTTGCCCATCATCCTGGGAGAGCTGACCTCTGCCTCCGCACTCCATTTTTCAGTGCGCTTGTTACGCACCAGCATCTGTGAGGTTTTCAGTTCTCATGATCCATGCATGGATCTGCACCCAGAAATGCTGTAATGAAGACCAAGTGGCTGAATTTATTGGGCAGTTCTGCTACCCGGTACAAATACATGAGGGTTTAAGCTTGTGACGTGGCCTGGCCTCTCACTATACATCTATGCACATGAAATCATTTGTCTTTGAAAACGCAAGATACTGTGTGCTTGTGAACAGAGAAAGATGAGATTTGGGGTTAACTTTCACTGCTTAGGAAAAGCTTGCTTGAGACCAACTCTGGAAAAAAAATGTATTTTATATTTATTTATTTTACTTATTATGGGAAGTAACATCCTTTTTTGGCAGAGTTACCGGCACAGGTCTTCTATGTAGTGCTGCCACTAGTACTGTTAGAAAGGCAAGATCCTGAAGATTGTCAGGAAAATGAGGAGCATGGGGTGATACCCTTCCTTAAAGGACAAAGTGGAATTTGTGTGACGAATGCCAGTTGTCACATTAGGAAACTGATGAATTGCCACTTACTGAATTACTTTTTCCTCTTTAGTGAATTATAGCAGAAGTATTTCGGCTTGATTTCATAGCTTTATAGACCTTAGAAATGCTAATCTCCTCCCTTTATTTGCTAAATTTGCTGCTCTCTATTTGAAAGGGACCTGGGTGACTTTTTTAATACAAAGCTTTATCATACTCAAGGAGCGCCGTGATTGCTGTTTTGGGTAGGTTTTACTGATCACCATAGGTGTTTATTTTCCTCTTTTCTCTTGAAATGGATTGCTTTGCATTCACTAAGAAAGCAAAAAATATTTTGGCTCTGATGTCGAACTGGTTTGAAGTGAGCAGAGTGCATCTGATCGCCCCCGAGGATTGCCCGGGGGGAAGATGTGGGAGGGAGGGCTTGTGTTTCCCCTTCTAGCTACATGCCACCTACATGCCCAAACAAATCAGCTCCCACCCAGTGCTCCCCATCATCTCTGATGGGCTTCGTTTGCCTGTAGTCATTAGTTTTCCCTCAGTGACAGAAAGAGGCAGTGTTTTTATTGACCTTGACATGGGACTACTTTCCTATTCCCCATTTGCAGTACTCTCAAAACATACAGACAGTGCACACCGTGGTTAGCCTGCAGACAGTACCTTGGGGGGAAATTTTCCTGGTCAACAACAAAAGGGCAGCCTGAAAGGGAATTGTCTTGATGCTTAGTGCAGAAGTTGTTTTACTGCTCAGTCACGCTGGCCAAGGCTTTTCAAAAGGGGCAAGTGATGCATGCAGCTAATTGAAGTGACGGTCAAGGGGTAAGATTTTTAAGAAATCCAAACTAATTTCACGTTAAAACCCAGGCCTTCATTTTTATTAGGCAGCCAGTCAGCGTCATTGCTTCTGGAATGAAACCTCAGGGGTATTTCCTTGGGAATCAGAAAGTGCTCCCTGGGAGGCCAAGGGAAGCTCAGTTTTCCCTCACAGTGATGATTTTATCTTGTCCTGCATTGTGCAGGCCTGTGTGGAGTGGCCCAAGAAATGGCTTTTCTCCTGAAGCAAAGCAGTCCATGTCAGAAGCAGGAAGAAAAAGAGAGCCATAGATGTGGTTAATGGAGCATAAAGAACCATTCCTGATGGAAGATGTTGGCCATGGTTGTAAAGAACTGGTTCCCACCCAGATTAAAACAATTAGTTTTCATCCAGTGGCATCCTATGACACACCTGTAGCCCAAGCACGAATGGCCAGACCTGGTGTGGTTTAGTTGCCATCAAGTGTAACTCCTTCACATGTAGCAAGAGTAACAGGCTGATGCAACAGGAAGTCACTTTAGCATAACAAATGTTCAAATCCATCTAAAAAATGATTAGAATTCAGTCACAGTAATAGATGCACTAGAGTGCAAAGAAAGCGGCTGTCTGGCCAGACATTTTACTGGATAAACAGTGATTCTGAAACTGTACCTCAGCATTCCTGTGACCACCTCATGAAAGGCTGAATTACCTTTTTCTTTTCTTACAGTGGTTCACTGTCAGATAAGCGGTTTACATTTACTTCAAATGGTAAGAACAATTGCTTTATTTTTAGCTATTCATATGTTACCTTTTTATTTAAGTATTTTCTGCAAAGGTTTTGAAAAATGATCAGGAGAATGTCAGGCTGTGTCTAGGAAGGATGTTTTAGGACAGCAATTTTTTAAAATTGGTAAGTGAATAAAAAAATTGAAGGGATGTGAAGTGAGCTAGAAAAAAAACAGAGAATATGTGCGGTCATACGCACATAGACAAGAAACAGAAATAGTATTCTGCTGTTGCATTTCTAGTGCCAGCATATGAAAAATGGCAATCAGATAATCCCATTTTTATGTACTTTTGGCTACAGAAAAATTAAAGCAATTTTTCTTCAGACATTTATAAATTTCATCTTCATCATACAAGAAGAGAAAAAAAACATAGGAGGAATGAAGATATATTTATATTGCACTGATATAGAACGAGTTTTTGTTTATGACTTTCCAAGATGCAAAACCCTCTTTTTAATCTGTCAAGCTGTTCATTTGCATAAAACACAGCAAAGAGGGGAGAAGAGTTCACATTCATTCATTTGAATTATATTTTACTCATTTGAGATAAAATCATTTATTATTCCACTGAAAACTGAAAACGTGTAGAGCATGTATAGGCCTTTAAATCTGCCAAGGAATTATTTTTAACTTCATTGAAACCATATTCCACTGGCCTGTTTTCTCTGAAGAACCTTGATGTGCAGAAATTTTGTGGGTTCTTTGGTGGAGTTTGTAATACTTACCTGCAGCTATTATCTTCATGATATCATGTCTTGGCAGCAGTATCAAGGAACTTCTCTAATGAGTAACTGTCCTAGCCCTAATTGCAGGTGAGAATCATGAAATATTTACAGTAAAGTGTTCCTTTCAGTACAGTGCCTTCATCTGTGAAATGTTTTGTAGAGCAGAATTAGTTAACACCAATCTCAAAACATAAATATTATGTTTCAGAAGGAAAATTTAAAAATAAAAAGAGTCTTCACAGGAATGAGACAAAAGTGCAGAGATTAAAAAAACAAAATTGCAAAAATAGTAGATGTAGTCAGAAGGTGTCTTGTACGTAGGAGTTAGATTGGTAAAGGAGAGGGACTGCACCACGCTTCTACTGGATCATCCACTACAAATTCTGGTAAACACCACAGCTAATGGAGAGCACCAGGCTAGCAGTAGATTCAGCAATGTCTGATTTGGCTGTTGTGGGTGGTCTTTAAATGTTGCTAGCCTAATATAAAAATATCCTGTGAAAACGCGAAGTAACTCCTTCTGCCTGTCTGTGTGGGGACTCCTAGGCTGCAACAAATCTCTCAGTCTGGAAGAGGGATTCCTCTCCAAGAGCCAGGTTACTGCATCTTCCTACTGGGAGGAGACCAACGAGTTTGGGCAACTATTCCAGTGGTCTCCTGACAAGGCTTGGCTTCAAGTCCTGGGATTGGCTTGGGCCTCTAATCACAGTAGCAATCGTGAATGGCTGGAGATAGACCTGGGAGAGAAGAAGAGAATAACAGGTATGTCGCTGTCTGGTTATTAGAAACTGGTGTTGCAGCTGGAGAACAAAATGAATGCAGCAGAAAAGCTAATAGTGCACAAATGCAATGTTTCTTTTGTTAAATGTAATTAAATGTTCTGCATTTAGGAATATTATTTTCCTATTTAAAAAATCTTGGCTATTTACAAGACTGGTATTCCTATGGAGATATAGTGTTCAACTCAATTGTCATGTGTGTTTGATCTATAAACATGTTGACAGAACAAAACACACAGGGACTGATAGAGCCTGGGTGGATGATAAACAATTGCTTAGGATCTGTTAAACATGTAGTTCTGGAATCAATAAGAAACATGAAAGTCATAGCCTTTGAAACAATGGTCCAGGTGAAAGAAATTCCTGTTTCCATCTCCTGATTTAGGTGTAAAAATGTAAATTACAGTTGCTGCTAAAGATGTAAAGATGGCTGATACGGACCATAATACCAAAAAGGAATTATCATTTTGGAGTCACAGAATCACAGAATAGATAAAGTTGGAAGGGACCACAGGGGGTCATCTGGTCCAACCTCCCTGCTCAAGCAGAGCACATGGCACAGGATTGTGTCCAGATGGTTCTTGAAGATCTCCAGTGAAGGAGACTTCACAACCTCTCTGGGCAATATGTTCCAGTGCTCTTTCACCTGCACAGTAAAGAAGTTCTTCCTCCAGGTGAAGGCTGGTGAAGGGACTTGAGCACAAGTCCTATGAGGAGAGGCTGAGGGAGCTGGGGTTGTTTAGCCTGTAGAAGAGGAGGCTTAGGGGAGACCTCATCACTCTCTACAACTACCTGAAAGGAGGTTGTAGCCAGGTGGGTGTTGGTCTCTTCTCCCAGGCAACCAGCAGTAGGACAAGAGGACACGGTCTTAAACTGTTCCAGGGGAGGTTTAGGTTGGATTTTAGGAAGACATTTTTTACAGAGAGAGTAATCAGACATTGGAATGGGCTGCCCAGGGAGGTGGTGGATTCACCATCCCTGGAGGTTTTTAAGATGAGACTGGATGTGGCACTTAGTGCCATGGCCTAGTAACCACAGGGGTGTTGGATCAAGGTTGGACTTGATGATCTCGGAGCTCTTTTCCAACCTGGTTGATTCTATAATTCTATGATTCTTATTCAGGTGGAACTTTCTGTGCATCAGTTTCTGCCCATTGCCTCTTGTCCTATTGCTTGGCACCACTGAGAAGAGCCTGGTTCCCTCCTCTTGACACCCTCCCTTTAGATGCTTATACACATTGATGAGGTTCCCTCTCAGTCATCTCTTCTCGAGCCTGAACAGGCCCAGCTCTCTCAGCCCTTTGTGCTCTGTTAAAAATATCCATGGCTCTGACAATGTAAAACTGATTTCCATTCTTCATCCAAATTTAAACTCAATTTCAACACAGTTTGAAAAATAAATTAAGACCTTGAATGCAAAATTTTCCAAATTGTTTTGGCTTCTGTGTTTGCATTTGAAAATGTTCCTTTAAAACAGACACCTAGCAAATGAAAATGTTTTTTGCATCTTGTCAAAAGGGATTAAGACCACTGGTTCTGGATCCACGATGCTGAATTTCAACTTTTACGTGAAGACATTTACAATGAACTATAAAAATAACAACTCAAAATGGAGAACTTACAAAGGGATTCTGAGCAACGAAGAAAAGGTAAGGGAAAGTGGGAAGGGTAGGAAAACACAAAGTAATAATGTGTATGTTGCCTTAACATTGAAGGGCAGGCTTTCACTGTCAAGAAAGATTAGGAGTTTCAAACTAGTCTCAACTTGGGTTGTCTTCACCAGTGTAATTTTTGCCCATGGAGTAGTGACAAGACAGTGAGCTTGTCAAAACAAGGAAGTTATCCAGGGATTGATGAAGTTGTGGGACACACACAGGGAGGCATGTGTATGTCCGTACCCTTCTTTCAAAAAAATGGTGTAATGAAAGCTGTACAGCAGGCTGTTTGGGCAAGTCTTTAGCTCAGCTCAGCTTTTGCCTGTGCTAGTAATGCTGTACCAGTGCAGAAGCGTAGGTCGGCACAGCACCAGCAAAGCTGAGGCTCAGCTTCAAATGCATGTGGATGGTCAATCCACCGCCCCCGCCAAATGAAACAACTCCCTCAGGTAAAGCGCAGGGCTGCTGCTGGAGCTGTGCCTGTGGCTTCCACAGTGCCCATGTTACCATCACCAGGGCTACACCACTCCCCACTCCTCACTGGTGGGACTCTTCTGACACAAGTGGGCACAGCCTACGTCTGTTAGGAACTGGTGTAACAGAATGTAAAATATACACTCTTACACTAAAATACCCAACAGCTTTCACAGACTCTGTGTGACTTTGGCAATGAACATATAAAAGAAGTGCAACAAGTTAATGCAGACAAAAGATGTGCTGCACAAGTTTGTCTGATAACATTATCCCCTGAAAACCTCATGTTTCCTTTCAAACAAAAGAAACCCCAAAAGCCTCACTTCGTGTCCCCACAGTGTTCAAAGTCAGACCTTCACTTATCATTTCTGAGAGAGCTCAGTTTGCCTCAGGAGAAGGCTCTACCTGGTCCTCAGGCCTGATGACAGGTTTTAAAAATTTGGTAGAGCTGCAGAGAGATTTCCTGCTAGCTCTGATTTTCTTAGTTTGCATGGCAAGGAATTTCACTGCCCAACTGGTTTAATGTTTTTTTTAAACATTAAACTGAGGGGATGTTGGCCCAAAAAGTGACAAATCAACCTAGTAGTGGCTGAACTGCAAAGACTTGTGGTTTTCCACAATGACTTGCTATATGCAAATAATCTTATGAAAGTATTAGGTATGATCTTAGTTTTCAGCTAAGGTGCATGACAGAACCTGTCCTATCAGAACCCTGTGTGGCCTAGCATTTTATCTAAGATATGCTGAGCTCTCTTCTCTATCTCATCAGGCTTTTAAGTTTTTCTAGATCATGCTGAAGCATCTCTCAGAATTAATATTGCAAGGACTACTGTTCTGCACAAGGGGCTGAGCTGATTCTAGGAAATACTGTATAAGTGCAATAACAACTGCATAGTTAAAAGTCACTCTTCAGTTCAGTTTTTTCTTTTTACGTCTTTATCCCCTGTTCCCAAGAAAGGGTGCTGCTGTGCTATTAAATAAAAAATGATAGCATTATACCAGCATACATTAACTAAAAATTACACAGAATTGAAATGGTGATAATCTTTCTCCTCCGAGCTAACAGAAAAATGTGATCATCTGGTAGAACTGAAAAGATTAATTCTTTCTTTCCAGAACTCTCAATTCCTAAAATCTTGTGTCTGAATCCCAGATTATCAATGTATTAGTTTTAGGATAATGAAAATCTTTGAAGACGGATGTCAGGAACACTTTGAAGAAAGAGACTTTCAAAACCAAGCAAACAATGTGTGCACATTTCATTGCAGGTATTCCAAGGCAACTCCAACTCTGGTGACATAGTACGCAATAACTTCATCCCTCCAATAGTGGCCCGTTATGTGCGAATTATCCCTCAGACTTGGAACCAAAGAATAGCATTGAAGCTTGAGCTGATGGGGTGTCGAATAATGCCAGGTATGGGGTAAGCAGTGGTCCCCAGGCATGGTGCCTCTAAAACCACTGTGCTACCCCAGTACCACTGATGTCCCCTTCTCTTTTGCAGCTAACAGTTCATTTACGCATTCAATGTGGCAGAAACCAAGTCAGAGCACAGAAACCTCCCTTGGAAAAGAAGACAGGACTGTTACAGAGCCCATCCCGTCAGAAGAAACAAACTTGGGTAACACTACCTAGTGCTGCATTTTCTCTAGGATGCATCATGTCTTCAGTCCACCCTGAGTGAACTTTAAACTTTCTCACAAACCAAAACTTTCATTTTCCCTTCAGACTTTATTAAAGATTAATGACAGAGAGAAGAGGGAAGAACATACGTTCTTTTTGTCTTAAGGCACAGAAAGAGATCGAAAGCCTTAATTTTCCTTGATGTGTTAACATCAGGCTTTGGTTTCCCTGTCCTATTGGTTTATTTACCATGCTTGGTGGGTTGCTCAAGGAACTATAGTGAGCACTCAGCAGCAATTTTTGAAAGAGCTCTTCCTCACTATTTTCCTATATTTTATGATTTTTTTTAAATTATAAAAATTAATTAAAAATGTGAGGTAGTGGTCTCACAAAAATGTTACCTTCTCTCTACACAATCATGAGCCCTCCCAGAGAGGGTCTCCAGCTAAAAGCAGCATACAGTAGTGCACAGTTTTGTAATTAAACATTTTTCCATAATGCACATGTTCATGGGGGCTCAGACCACCTTAATTTGCATACTTCTTCCTGAATTTGCAGTCTTCATCCTTTAATGCTGTGGAGCTAGCATCTAAGATCTTAAAAAGCAAACAAACAAAATTTGGTGCTTATACTGACTGTTTGGTGGACCCACAGCCAGGCAGGTATTACCAGATCTACTGTACCAAATGCTTCTACCCACTAGATAGCCGATAGTTGTAGGAATGGCTCTGTGAAAAAACTGGTTGTAGAAACAATCACTGTAATAAAAAAAACATTCTGAAGCTCTTGCCAAGAGCAAAGAAGCTCAATTCATCTGTGCAGTGGCATGGGTAAACCATATCCATGTTCACTGAAAATTAAATCTACTGAGATTTCATCTGCTAAATTGTAAATACCCCATGGACACTTGTACTACCTTATTGTCACAGCTGGCAAGTGTCTGTAGAAACAGGGGATGAAACACTCCTGACACAAGAGCCACCCCACTGCTGATTTTCAAATCCCTGTGCTAAAGCATGTTGTGTTAGAATTTAACAGGGGCTAAACAGGTTTCTCCCTAGATCCACTCATGGAAAGCTTTGAACTATTTTGACTGAAATGTTTCAGTCTGTTCCACAAGCCACATACTCAGCATGTAAAATTGCAGCCTTGTTTGGCAGATTTATAAGCAACTGCAAACAAAGTGTGTGTAAGTGGCTTTTTAAAAGTCATCTGGTGTGTAATAAGAAAGAACTGCTCTTTGTAAGGACGCATATAGATGCCAAGTCAAGTGTTACCCTTGAGAAAGTATATTCAAGTCTTTCATCTCAACATTGTTCCACGTAGGTACATGGCAAGAAAGTGTGGCTGAGAAGTAGTATTTTAGTTTTATAGATGCACATTTTTATGCTCTCTTCAAGGAGCATTCCTGCAACATTATCTACTTTTTGCTGCATTCTCTGTAGTAAAAATTATTATCTTCAGAGTAATTTGCCTTTTAAACTTTTTTCACTTTTTTTTCTCATGCAGGTTTAAAGCTTACAGCTATAATTGTCCCCGTCCTCATTGTGCTGTGTCTGTTCGTGTTCTCTGGAATTTGTATCTGTGCAGCCCTACGCAAGTAAGATATGACTTTTGTCACAAGAGGCATTTGTGGGTACCTAGCTAGCATGTCCAACTTTGTGCCCTCTTTCCAGAACCTCTTTACCAGGGAGCTGGGAATTGATCCTGTTTGTCAGTCCTCCTTTTAAGTAGAACTCACGTTGTATCTCTGTAAATTGTATTTCTTATCGTATGCCTCCCCTAGTCAGAGAAAAATGAAGGTAATGCAGGTCAGAACTGTGCATCCCAATTTACAGTCCAAGGTAACCAGCTGTTCTCTTCAGCCTACATATACCCAAAAATACTATGGTGTAAAGCAATCGAAGACAGAATACTTTCCACACCAAAGCCAAGTAAAAATTCAGTGAAGGGAAGATTTTAGCTATCTATCTGGATCATTTTCTTTTATATCCCTCCGGTTGTGTTTCTGCTTCCCAGTGCCTTAAGTCAGAGCACTTAACCTAGCAGGCTGAAAGCAGAAAGAGCCCAGTTGTAAGGAGTTGCACACATACACTGGGGTAAGCAGCTAAAACTAAGCTACTTCAACTCACAAGTCAGAGGACTGGAAGAAGCACTGCTAACTGTGCTTCTTGCCAGATGCCCATTCATATGAACCTGCACTTGCATGTAGAGCCAGAAAATATTTCTGTCAGCAGATGGCAATTTGGAAGTATAAGCAATGCTTTGGTGATGCTGCTTCATCACCAAAGCTGCCCTGGGTTCCCAGTAAATCTATAAACTAGCCAAAGAATTCAGAAGAGCAGATGCAAACATAAGCCTGGGTCTATGGACATAGAGACATGAACACATCAAATTGATGAGTGCCAGTCCTAGGCATTTGAGCACCAGCACTCACAACTTGCACACAGATGGGGAAAAAGAAAATGTCAAAGTGCTGGTTTGCATGCCTGACGTTCTGGTAAACACCAGCCTCCAGGAACTTGAAATGAAGCCTTGTCCTCAGCCACTAAACACAAAGCTCTGCTGGAGCTAATGCATGAAACTGAAATGCTGTGAGTACAGACATTCATAATTCCTTTTCTCTCCTGGCAGGCGAGAAGCCAAAGGACTTTCCTATGGATTATCCAGTACTCAGAAATCAGGTTAGTGGAGAATCATGCACTTCATCCTGTCCTGTCCATTGGGCCAACAGGAAGGGGGTTATGCAACTAAGCATTTAATGCTTGTGAAATAGCATCCACATTTCCTCATTCAAATTCACCTCTTCATACAAGGGAAATGGCAAACGATAGTCCCACTTGTGTCATCCTAGTACAGTGCCCTGAGAAACAATATAATTTGGTTTCTATGACAGAAAGGCAATTAACAAAAGATCTATTATACAGAGTGCATAAATTAGCATGTAAGAGTGCTCCCAGGTGCCCTCCTTTTCCCTCCCTCCTCCAAAATACCTATTTTGCAGAAAATTGCTGCTTTCCTTTTCTTTTCCCTGCAGCAGAGAGGATTGCCTTTCTTCAAGAGAGCAAGGGATAATCATTTTTTATGGCTTTAATATTCTTATCTCACTGCCCTCCCTGTTTGGGACTGTGTTTATAAAGCTTAACAATACTCAACTGTACTTCACGTGTAAAATCCAAATGAGGGATTGGCTTGAGAACACTGCTTTAGGAGATGCCTGCAAAACCCCGATGAAGTATTTTCTTTGTCTTGCTCAATAACGCTTTCTGGAGTGGGGTCTCCCATCAGCTTGGCAGTTGAGGTTTAGCTGTTTTTCCTGGCCAACTAACTTGACAGAGGAATATCCTTCTGAACCTCGGCTTTTTTTAAAAAAAGAAACCACTAAGCAGTTCATATGTCTCTTGACAAGTGTTTTGCAATAGCTCAGCTGCGAAATTTCATCCCTCAGCAGGTGCTGACGTCAGTGAAAGGAATGTTGTTCCCCACTGCAGCTTGCCCTCATTAGAAAATTAATTTGTACTTAACATCATATTTGCTAATATGATTTTTCAAGGTCACATCATAATCCTTTCTCACTTGCTAATGAGGACAAATCCCAAGAAATTGGAGATAGCCTCTTACCCAGTCAGTTCATTTGTTTCATGCGTGCTTCATAAATCAAGCTCCTAAGCCCTTGTGAACCAAGCTTGGGACTTAGAAAGCTGGTAGTCGAACTCACCTCTCCACAGACCTCCTGTTGCCAGCTCCAGGGAAGTGCCTGACATTGTGGAGTTTTTTCTTTTCTGTCTCACAAGGATGTTGTGAGAACAAATGAACTGATGAGTGCAGATGCTCAGATACCAACAAAATGAAAGCCACACTGATCTACTGAAAAAAAAATTAAGCATTATTTTTGCCACATAATCAATGCCATGAGACATAACTGATTTAAAGCTAGTATTTTATCAATATACCTTGTTAAGGCATCAATGCAGGCACCTACAGAATCTGAGCCCTCCTTGACAAAAAATCCTATGTAAAGATTCATTTTCATTTGGAAATCCCAGTTGATGAATCACTTTTTCCTTCACCCTCCATATTTAAGGGGCTCTTTTTACAAGCAGCCTATTTTAGCCTTGGTTTTTAACTGCTTAAATATATATTGACAGCAAAGAGAACACCAAATATTAAACTTCGTGGTAAATCCTCTGATTCTAACCATTTAACTTGCTGATAAGCCTTCTATTTTTACTTCTTTATCATAGGTTGTTGGAAACAAATCAAGCAGCCCTTCACCAGACATCAGTCAACTGAATTTACCATCAGCTATAACAATGAGAAGGAAACACCACAAAAACTGGATCTGGTCACCAGTGACATGGCAGGTAACAGTTGCTTCCCCTCATATGCATTCCTTTTGCTCCATGTGTGGAGCAGGTAATGGAGAGGGATGGCCCAGCAATATTACAAGCTCCAGCTCTTATGCGAGCTGAGGCCCAGGAATAGATTTATCCATGTTCATCCCAGATAAGTAGTGAAGCAGTTAAATATATTAGGGAGGGAAAGAACACTACTTTAGAATTTTTTTCTTGGAGTTGTTGGAAAGATTTTCTGACTCTGAAATGCTGGAAGGCACTCAGGCATGGATGGAATGCAAGAATATGCCTAGGATAGGATCGCTTGCCTTTGCTAACTAATTTTTGTGTTTCTATTTAAAAACAAATGCTTCTGAAAATGGAACAAAATATAATGCCCCTTTCTGCTGAGCAAATAGAAAAATTACTTAGTTGGTTTGTGGTGGGATTTCCTGCCCAGCTGGAAGTTGTGCTGAGATCCCAGTGCAGCTTTCCTGGTGCTGAACTATCTGGGAGATGAGACTCCTTGAAGTGGAAGCAGGTAGACTGGAGAGAAGAAAAAAGCCAGTGCTTCTCTCCTGTGCTATATTAGCTCTAGGTCACTGTTCGGATAGAGCAAATCCCCACATCAGCACTATTTGCATTCCAAAGGGATGATTTTTTAATTCATCCTCTTAGCACATCTTATCCCCGCCTAGTCTAGTCTGTCTGGTAAGGCTGGTGAGAGCAGCCATTTCATGAGATCAGCGATCAGCAATCTTGAAGAAAGACTAGTTTGCTGTTTCCAGCCTCCAGACCTCAGAAATTCCTTAGAATTTCTTCAAAGTGTTTGGCAGAGAAATACATTTAAAAACAAATGGATGGTTACTGTAATTCCATATGGTGCTACCCTCCATATCTTTCAAAGACAGTTTCAATCATTTATAGAAACTTTCTATATAAATATGTAGAGATCTATAAAGCAGTTTTCTATCATGAAGGAAAGAGAATGAATAAAGGTTACTCAAACATCATGGTTATTTGGCTCCCCTGGCCATGCCTGGGGAGTTTCTGCTCTGTCCATTCTCCCCTCCTGCTGTGTTTGTGGGAAGTCTTAACTCTCAGCCTGGCCCAGGCAGCTTCTCAGCCTTAGCCTTTCATTTACAGTCTCCTTAAAAATAAGAAACATGAAATAAAAATGTGAATGCAACTCAGAAAATTTAATAATTTAATTGCAGAGAGCACACAGTTTGCATATAGGTTATCATGCTACATGGAATTCCCTCACTTCAAATCCCCATCTGCCTGCTGGCTCCCAAAGGCAGCCAGGAGCAAGTCGAGATGCTACATCCTGAGCGAGAGATTGCTGGGGATGGTGGCAGCAATGCGGAGGAGAGCTGCACCACTTACTTAGTGAAATATCATAACACCTTCACCCTCCATGCTGAAGTTTGGGAGTTAGCCAGAAACTGCCAAAAAGATTCACAGGACATATGGGATCGAATTCAACGCTCATGTCAGAGGAACCACGATGCCAGAACAGAAACTGAGCTAACTTCTTTCACGCCTGCATCAAAACACGATACTTTAGCAGTGTCATTTACTAGAACTGTTCAGGCCACTGTATGTATCCACATGAGATTGTCACCAGCGCCAAAGTGAGAAAGTTAGAACATTGAATTTTCTCATAATAGTATTACTGGATTTTTTAAAAAAACTTTTTAGTTCAGACCTCCTCCTTACATGGCAGTCTGGCATCTGCCTTGACTAGAGGTGCAAACAAGCAAATCTTGAGGCCGTATTTCCTCCATCTCACTCCTTGCTCCTGCCCAGGCCGTTTGTCTGTCGCCAGCTGTATCCCTGTCATCCCCCTTCACCAGGGTGACTGCCCAATTCCTCTGGGAGCACCAGTCCTGCTTCTCCTCCCACACTCATTCCCCCTGGAATGCCTGCAGCCGTGCGAGCTGGCTTAGTGTGTTTCACACTTCTACTGACTCTCTTGGCTGCCGTTTTGCCTAACTTCATCCTTCTTGTCAGTCAGCTACTGTGAGATGCCTTTTAAATAAAGCAGTCTCGTTAAGAATCCTGGGTATTCTAACTGTTCCAAAAGTGGAACACTTGTTGTGGAGAACTTCTCACCTGAAGATCTTCATACAGTGTCCTTTGTCCAGTTTGGTGCTAATATTTTGTTGACTTCATTCATTTTTCTAGGGCTTTTAAGTATATTCCAGAAATGTTAATTTATTTGGGTGGGTAGGTGGGGAAAGGGAGGGAGGGAGTAGGAAAAGGGGTGGCAGATTGGAGCTCCTCTGTGGAAAAGCTTCTGCCATGTTCTACAAAGCTTGCTCACGGAAGGAGTTTACAGGATCAGTGCTGCGGAAAGGTTTTCTCATAATCCCCAATAACCACACGATTGATATAATAAGTGAGTAGTTTTTCATCAGAAAATACCTATCTATGCATAAGTATTACATACATAAAATAATCATTCTGTGCCTTATTGAGCAGTTCACGCTTCCTTTTAGATTATCAGCAGCCTCTCATGATTGGGACTGGGACAGTAACACGTAAAGGATCTACTTTTCGACCCGTGGACACCAAAGATGAGGGAAGAAGGGGGAGTTCCGAGTCTGAAAATCACTATCGCTGCCCTCACAGAGCTAACCGGCATGAATATGCTCTGCCCCTGACCAGCCAAGAGCCTGAATACGCCACCCCCATCATAGAACGGCACATAGCAAGAGAAAATAATTTCCCTTCTGAAAATGGCTACAATGTTCCTGTTGTCTCATCTCAGATACACTCCCTCACTGCTGGCAGCTTCTCCAGTTCATGTAAAACTGACACCAGGAACGGAGACTATCAGACACCCCAGAGTGTCATAAACTATGACAAACCCAAAGTTAATGGTGTTCTGACCTCTGTGAGCTACAGCACAGACTACCAGAAACCTCAGCAAAATGCCCTTGGGAATGAGGGTTACTCAACACCCAGAGACTGCCTAAAACCCATAAGTCAGACAGCAATGACAGCTCTCTTGTGATTTGCTGAGCAGGAGAGGTGTGGTGCACAGGAACATCACTGCACAGCTTTCTGAAGCGAAAACAGAGTTTGGAGGGACTCTGCTGTGGGAGGCAGAAGGCAAACAAGCCCTGTGTACATAATATTGCTGTCTTGCTGGGTTCTGACATCTGAAGAAAGCATATGCTGTTTATCACTGTTTGTAGCAAGAGAGATGTTATCAGTGAAGACTGTACATCTTATTTTCTGTAACTGATCTCAGTGCTCCATTTGCAATGTGTGCAATTTGTACATAGCTTTTATTTAAGGAGAATTTCTTAAGTTTCCTTTTCACCTGGGGGTTTGAAAGGATTGCAGAAAGGCCTGTTTAAGAAAAAACAGGCCTCCTTTTCTCTCTTTATTTTACCTGCTGCTGTACTGGCAGCTGTAAATGGTGTATCTTATGGTTGTGGTGATTCATCTCCTTTCCTATGAAAACTGAAGATAGGGCATCACTGTAGTTCTTTCTGGGAGGGTAGAAGTTAAACTACTTGAAGCATAATGTGCACAAGAGAAGGCAGCTGAGCATTTAAATACTGTGCTCAAACCCAACTTCCCAGCTGCTTTTTTAGCAGCAATTCTCACATGCTTTAATTTGATCTAGCATATGAGCTGAGCCATCTAACTTGCAATTCATGTTTAGAAATAAGTAGAAAGGCTGATACTGATTTTGGGTTCAAGCCATAGTGATCACTCTACAACAGAAAAAAAAACAAAAACCAACAACCAAAAAACCAAACAACAAATCCAACACCAGTTAATCTGGTTTTGTTTCTTTTTTTATTTAGGAAGTGTGCATGGAACCAAAATGTGAATTTACAGCTGAGAATGAAATCCTGTTCAAGCCCTAGCTGACCTTTTTGCTGCTAAACTGTAAGGACATTTGTTCCTTGGCACAAAGCAGCAAACTTCCTGAACTCTTCATTGCTCCACTAGGTATTTTTGTCTTACAAATTTAGTGTAACATTTCTACTTGAAATATTTCAACTAAGTAAAACAGTGTGTGTACTGTTGCAGTTAAATTTGCAAGACAGTGGATCAGCACCATTGTTTTCAAATAATTTTTCTTTTGCAGCTGATGTTCCCCTTAGTTCTGTTTTTGGACAAACTTGAAAAAGTGTGGGGATGGGTGCAATGTATCGCACAGTAGCTGGCTCCTCTTTCAGCAGAGGCAGCGTTGGAGCAAAACAGCTTCTGGTAGCAACTGGGACCATCTGCTGCCCTTCTACCTCCATTGCTTGGGGCATTTCTCTGAATTCAAAAGCTTGTCCTGAAGTGTCAAGAAGTGATATACTTCTGTGAAAAAGAATGGTGCTATACTTTAAGCACAAGGTTGGGAAACGAGACCAGTAAAACCTGAGCTCTGGGAAAGTCACTCTTCGAAAGCCCCCCATTTCCTTGTGTGTAAATGGGATAATTTGCAAAGGATGCAGCCAAGATTATTCAGTCTGTTTGTAAAGTGCTTTCAGACCCTTGGGTGGAAAGTGCTGTCAGAGGGCAGACTGGTTGCAGTGATACTACTCATGAATACTCTAGCCATACCTGAACTTGAGGCAAGGTCTGAGTGGGTTCTTTGCATACACGTGTTTTGTGGCCCCGAGTGGTGCCGTTCCCCCACGCTGCACCGTGCATGCAACTCCTGCGCAAAGAAGAGTCAAGGTAACCTCGTAGCCTTCCTGTGTTTCCTGTCATTACAGTTTCTGTGAAATGTCTAAAACACCTCAGGTCCTGAAGTGAAACAGCAGCAGCCTGTTTGTTAGACTGAGCTGGGCGGTGTTGTTTACCTTCTGTTGTTTACATGTCTGTGTAAATAAAGAACACTGGTATTTGTAAATCAGTCACACGGGCCTGCCACTTAACTCGGGCCTGCCACTTAACTCAGTGACTTGATCATCGCTGCACACCCACTCTCGTCACATATGCTGCAGGGTGAGAAAAAAGAGTTCTTTACGCCCTGCAAAAGTGCCAGTTGTGCTGCCGCAATTCACAGTCCCAGTGTGACTGGCTAAAAAAAGATTCTCTCAGTGCCCCATTTAGCCCAGCTTTTCTGTCCATAAGCTCTATAGAAGAAGAAGCCACAAAATAACGTCTATGCCCAACCCCGCTGCTGGATGTATATAATTGAGGAAAGGATGAGGATGCCCTCCTGACGAGCCTGAAACCAATCCTCCACCCACGCAACTAATTAACCTTACTTGACAAACAAGTCAGCAATCAGGCCTACTCCCCATGAGGCAGCTAAATAACACAGCAATGCAAGGGACCAGGCAGCAGATGACACTACTTGTATTCTAAAGAACTTTTCATATGCTTCTGCCACATGCTTGGTGCATCTGCAGCACGCTACAAGTGTCAAAGGGTTCTTGGCAGCATATGCCCATTTCTGCTGTCATTCAAACACATCTTAACACAGCTGGTTTAGCCTAATGAAAAGTTGGGTCTCAATTTGCACCTTCCCTTCATTCCCCTCACCTCCCCGCCCTCCAGAAAAACCCTGCAAAGATGGCTTAAAATAGATCCCCAGACATCTCCAGCCTCCCTTCAGAATGGCTTGGTGCCAACAGAGACGGAGTGACTGCTGAGGGTGGCTAACCTAAAAAACCTCAGCTTCTCCACCTTGGCCTGGAAAACTTTTAGTGACCCTAGCAGCAGACATGCAAGGGAACTTCCTACCCATGTAGCCTCTCTATCCTGACAGTGGTAGAGATACAAAATCCTACTGTAGGAAGGAAAGGGGAATGCCTGAATCTTACCAGTGCTAGTGCTCATCCCCATGCTCGTCCTCTGACTGGCCTCTTACATACCGATACATCGAACTCCAGCTTGTCTACATCAACCTGTTCTATCAAACCCTGATGCAAGGCACCCTTATAAAACGTCACAGATTTAAAAAACTTTGTTTCACAGTGAAGGTTAGAGAATGCATCATTTTGGGACATTTTCATGCTCAGAAGGGCTGCTTTAGCTTTGGATCTCTCACCGACAGCTCTAGAGATTGTGGGAGAGCAGAGTTTGACCCTCTAGTCAATGGAGACTTTGAATAGCATTTTGGTACCGAACTTCTTTCCTGAGCAGGCACTCCCAGTGGGCTGGAGAAGCACTAAAACCAAGCCAGAGTCCACAAGAAGGTTAAATATTAACTGCTCATGGCACTAAGGGCCTGCTTGTCCCATTGCAGTTGACAGCAAGTCTCTGACTTTGCCAGGAACAGGGGCAGCACTGTAACTGCGCGAGTCTGACCAAAGGAACTGAAGAAGGTACCTCTTGAGGTAAGAAAGTGTAAAAGATGGTGTACACTACCTACAACTGAAATAAAAACCCAAGAGCTTAGCATGTTTCCAGCTGGTGCCTCATATTTAAAACACAAACAAAAAACCTACAAAAAACAACAAAGATTCCGAAAATACCACAGGAAAAACACAAATGTTCTTTGCTTGCACCTCTGACTGGGAAATAGATCGCAAATTCTTATTTCTTCTATCAAGTATCTTTCCAATGCTTGATATAAAAGCATTTCAAGTGTAATTCTAAAGAGTATTTCTCTGTTTCTTTTAGTTGCTAAACATCAGATATTAAACCCTACCTTAATACCTAACAGAATCTTTACATCCAACAGGCAATAGAATAAAAGTAGCCCAGGTAGATTGGAACTAGGATATCCTGGCTCAGGTGATGCCCTACTCGCTCACGTATAGTATCACCTGCTCTCATTTATGGTCTTTCTCTGGATCAAAAACTTGGCCTCAACTCCCTCTCCAGACACAGGATGGGTTCCAGCAGCTCAGCACTGACTACAGCAGTTTGCATAGAAGGGGGAAGGCAGGAAAAGCACTGAGGACAATCTGCACCCCCTGCATCTGATAGTATTGTAAGCACTGACTCAGAATGTCAGCAGTCAGCAGTGTCTTGAGTACCTGTGTGTAAATGACACATCCCTGCCTCCTTACTTAAAAAAACCCATGAGGTTGGATTACAACCATTAGAAGCAGCTTGTGAATCCCATAGCTGGTCTGCATAATTGCCATGGCTAAAACTTGGGAAGATTGAGTTTTTAATACAGATTTTCCTCAGGTTTTTCCCACTGCCTGCCAGAGAACTGGCAGTTCTTCACTCCGTGGGCAGATTTTAGTGGAACCCTGTCTGAGACCCAAAATACTCCCTACACAGGATGGGAATGTCAGGCTGTAGGTCCCATTAGAGGAGCAGATGCCTAATTGTGATTACCTATTTGGTGGATCACTGTTGTTAAAATAAAAAGCGAAAAAATGAAGAGAATTCTAAAAAAGGAGTCAGTGGTCTCACAGCAGTCCTGTGGGATTGGATGTCCACTGAAAAGTAACCTTATATAAATCCATCTGTACTTTTCTGTTCACCCTCTCTCCAAAACCAGGTTAGCTTTGCTCAGTGAGTGGGTGTCTGTAATCAGGCCAGACCTAAGGGATAACAAGGTTATGTTGTTGCATTTCTTTCTTTATTACTTTCCATAATAAAAATTCTATACTGCCCTTTTCTTTCCAGTGTCAGTGATGATAAAAGCTTGTTGGAGAACCTCCACTGCAATTAGTACAGTGTGAAAACAGTATTTACCATTTCATTTGAAACTCACCAGTGTTGATACTTACACTGAAAATCACGGTGGGGTTAACAGGACTAACAATGTTGCAATTCCTATGAACTACTGAAGACAGAATACATTTCACAGAACATACTTATTTAATAGGAAGGTGCCATTTCTGTACAATCACTTTCAAACTTAAAATAGAAACCTCTCCTGAGGGCTTCCTTTTTTTTTTCAATTCCCCCTCCTCCTCCCAGTACAGTCCTACAGATCATAAAGGACATGCAAGAAGGAGTCAGATAAAGTGTTTCTAAACTAGATAAAGACCAGAGGGAAGACATTCGAACTTGGAGAAAACTCATGTTATCCATAAGGAGGATGCCTCACATCCGACTTTCTCTGCTATCTCTTTGTACAGTCTAGACATGAGAATCTGGAGACTTTTTCATTAAAACTTCACCAATTTGTTTTGGCTTCGCCTCACATTAAATGGCTGTAAGTCCTAAAAAACATTTGCCATCTACAAGTAGGCAAAGGTTATTCAATAACCTCTTGTCCCGGGCTGAGTTAATTCATTACTTACTCAGACAGTCACAACACAGCTACTGTGCTGCCATGTGACATCCAAGAGATTATCATCCCATTTATTTTAATACAGCCACAAGTACAAAAATGAGAAATCCAGGAAAGAGACAACTTTATCAAGTTAAAATATAACATTTTTCAGCATAGAAAAAATATAACTCAAGAAATACAACATAGTAGTGTTACTAAGGCATTTGTGCCCTTAATAACCACTCTGAACTGACCTCAAGAACCCATAATTCTGACTAGGCACAAAATTTTTAACAGACTTTACTGGAAAATCTCCTTTAATGCATTGATTATCTGCATTATTGGCTAACCCAAAGAGGAACAGTATCTCCTCCTATTAAGCTACTCAAAAGAGTGAGAAAACTTACAAACATAACAAATTATTCAAAACCTGTAACATTCTCTCAGCCCGATCAGATGACAACAGTCAATAACAGACTTTAAAACACATGTATGTTGCCTACTAGAAGGCAGGCAAAAAACTAACGACAAAATTCTAGGCTTAAAAGAAACACCAAGAGCAATTTAATACAAACAATACAGAAACATACAGCAATGGTTGGTGCCT